AGGAGCTGGGGGTGGTGACGGCCGACAGGGAGCTCTGGCGTGGGCTGGTCCACGAGGTCACGAAGAGTCGGAGACGACTGAACGAATGAACAACAACAATGTGTATATATATATATTTGTGTACATATGTATATGTGTGTGCTTGCGTATATATGGTTTTGTGCATGCATTGTAATGTATTTTTTTTGTTTTTTGGCTTTTTAAGTCTCTTCTGCTGTTTTTTCCAGTGTTTTTATGAGTGATGGTCACTCTTTGGCCTGACAGGTGTCTTATGTCCAAATTTGGTGTCAATTCGTGCAGAGGTGTTTGAGTTATGTTTATCCCACAAACGAACATTACATTTTCATTTATATAGATTATATATATATTATATATTATTTTCTTACCCGCGCTTCCATACCTGCCTCCTGGCCCATCTCAAGGGCACCTGCCTGCCTCCCTGGCCTCCGCAGACCCCAGTACAGCCTCCGGAGCCATGCAGGCAGCAGCAGGCCAGGAAGACAGGCCTTCCCCACCTTACCTCAGGTCGCCACACTTCCGGGGTCTGTGGAGGCCAGGGAGGCAAGCCTTCCCCACCACGGCTCAGGCCGCCGCACTTCCGGGGTCCCTGGCCTCCACTGGACGTAAATATTTTATATTAATATTTTCAAAAACCCGCAAAACAGCGAGTCCGCTAAAAGCGAATTGCGAAGTAGTGAGGGAACATTGTATAATCATGTTCTGGGAATAAGTATTAGAAACTGAAAATCCCTCAAAAAGAAAGGGAATCCTAATAATCATTAGGCTTGAGCGTGAACCATTTTTAGCCATTTCCTTCGGCCAATACGGCTTCCTTAGTTGGGTCAGGTAGCCGTAACGGCTAGGGCTCAAGCTGCCACGTATCCTCATTCATAAGGGGGGCACGTGGCAGCTGATCACAGCTCCTTCTCCCCTATTAGGCATCACAGTTGAACCTTTTTAATTTTCCTTTATTTTCTTGATTTTTATTTGGTGGGACTGACTGGGAGTTGAGGACGGGTGGGATGTGCATGCGCATTTGGGGGCTTGGAGTCACCCTTTTAGCTTCATTTTTTTCCTTCCCTTCCTCTCCTTCAGAAAATATTTCTAAAAGATAATAATAATAAATAATAGTAATTCCAGTAAACAAAAAAAGCCTCATTTTCTGAAAACTACAACCACTTAGTTACCTCTCCTCTAGAGTAGTAAGTAGAAACAGCTATAAGGAAGCATTATATCCAACCAGGAAGGGCCTGTAATAGAGAGAAAATAAGGCTTTTTATGGAAGCCCAGGGAGGATAGCTCCAGGTCATCGCTTTTACTTCCCTGGGCCTCCTTAAAATGCCTTGGAGAGCTGCATGCTTGCTGCAGGGAGAGAGAGAGAGCACACGGCTCTCTTCTAGAGTAGAGACAGCTTTAAGAAATCATTAAACCCAGTCTCATCTACAGACAGAAGGGAAAGGATGACAGAAAGAGTGGTATCTTAACTCTTTTAATCCAGGTCTTAATGAAAGATATAAGAACATACAATGCCTAAAATGATGGGAAGCGGAGTCTGGAAATCCCCCCATAATGGGCCAGATAGGGTGTTTTCTCAAAAGCGTTGCGGAAACCCAGGCTCCCTTGAAGGGAAAAAATGAAAGGGTCCTAGGAATGGAAAGAAGAGCTTCATAACACCTATGAAGGGTTAGTAAGCATGATCARCAAGTTTGCAGATGATGCCAAATTGGGAGGGATAGCCAATACTCCAAAAGACAGGAGCAGAATTCAAAACTATCTTAACAGATTAGAGAGATGGGCCAAAACTAACAAAATGAAGTTCAACAGTGACAAATGCAAGATACTCCACTTAGGCTGAAAAAAAATGAAAGGCAAAGATATAGAATGGAGGATGRGTGGCTTGAGAGCAGTACGTATGAGAAAGATCTTAAGAGTCCTCGTGGACAACAAATTAAACATGAGCCAACAATGTGATGCAGCGGCCAATTCTGGGCACCACAATTGAAGGGAGATGTTGACAAGCTAGAATGTGTCCAGAGGAGGGCGACTAAAATGATCAAGGGTCTGGAGAACAAGCCCTATGAGGAACGGCTTAAAGAGCTGGGCATGTTAAGCCTGAAGAAGAGGAGGCTGGGAGGAAACATGATAGCCATGTATAAGTATGTGAGAGGAAGTCAAAGGGAAGAGGGAGCAAGCTTGTTTTCTGCTGCCCTGGAGACTAGGATGCGGAACAATGGCTTCAAAGTACAGGAAAGGAGATTCCACCTGAACATTAGGAAGAACTTCCTGACTGTGAGAGCTGTTCAGCAGTGGAACTCTCTGCTCCGGAGTGTGGTGGAGGCTCCTTCTTTGGAGGTTTTTAAACAGAGGCTGGATGGCCATCTGTCAGGAGCACTTTGAATGCAATTTTCCTGCTTCTTGGCAGGGGGTTGGACTGGATGGTCCATGAGAACTTTTCCAAATTTATGATTCAGTGATTCTATAAGGTCCCCATTGCTACCAATAGGTCGGATCTCGGTGTATTTTCAAGATCAGGACCGAAAAACGCTATCTGGTTACCTCCCCCTCCCCCCAGGTCATTTTTGGGAACCGTGAAAAAATAGATATGGGGGTCTACTGGTATTATTTTGAAAATAAAAACAGAATTTGTGAAAAGAAACTAACTGAATCAATACTGGAGGTTGTTTTAAAAAAAAGAAAATAAATTTCATAGAGAACTCAAATTAATAAAGCAATGTATGGTTCAGGGAGTATTTTTATTATACTCAGTTTGCTGCTGTTGTTATGTCATACAAGCCTAACATCTGTAGTCATCTGGACATTACACAAAGAGGCCAACATGCCTTTAGTATGAGCATACTCTCAATTGGGAGCTGCAGTCAATCACAACTCTCTGCCAAGGGAATCTGCATAACACATGTTTGAAAATCTTACACAATTTTACATTTAAAATTTCCTCATGTACACCAACTACATATCTAACTATACATTCTCACGCTATTCCAGAATGGCAACCAGGTCAATCTGCCACAGCCACATTGACATCACAGTCTGTTAACCCCTTAAAAACATTTTTTTAAGTGTGAAACAACCATTTGTGGACAAGAATCCATTACATCAGTGTTTCTCAACCTGGGGGTCGGGACCCCTGGAGGGGTCGCGAGGGAGTGCCAGAGGGGTCACCAAAGACCACCAGAAAACACAGTATTTTCTGTTGGTCATGGAGGTTCTGTGTGGGAAGTTTGGCCCAATTCAATCGTTGGTAGGGTTCAGAATGCTCATTGATTGTAGGTGAACTATAAATCCCAGCAACTACAACTCCTAAATGTCAAGGTCTATTTTCCCAAACTCCACCAGTGTTTACATTTGGCCATATTGAGAATTCTTGCCAAGTTTGGTCCAGATCCATCATTGTTTGAGTCCACAGTGCTTTCTTGATGTAGGTGAACTACAACTCCCAAACTCAATGTCAATGCCCACCAAACCCTTCCAGTATTTTCTATTGGTCATGGGAGTTTTGTGTGCCAAGTTTGATTCAATTCCATTGTTGGTGGAGTTCAACATGCTCTTTGATTGTAGGTGAACTATAAATCCCAGCAATTAGAACTCCCGCAGGACAAAATCGATACCCTTTCCCAATCCCACCAGTATTCAAATTTGAGTGTATTGGGTATTTGTGCCAAATTTGGTCCAGTGTTTGAAAATACATCCTGCATATCAGATATTTACATGGTGATTCATAACAGCAGCAAAATGACATATATGAAGTAGCAATGAAACTAATTTTATGGTTGGGGGTCACCATTACATGAGGAAGCGTATTAAGGGGTCGTGGCATTAGGAAGGTTGAGAACCACTGCATTACATCAGATGCACTGATGTATCTGAGCATGTACAGGAAAACAGAGCGGAGAAAAGAAATAGTAGATAATAATAATAATAATAATAATAATAATAATAATAATAATACTTTATTTATATACCGCTCCATCTCCCCGAGGGGACTCAGAGCAGTTCCCAGGTAACATCACAAAACATACAAAGTAAAAACAACACAACCATAACATTAACAAAACAAAATATAAGCATAAAAATTGTCGCCATAACACACATATATTAAAAGTAATCCTGCCTGTTCAAGGCAATTAAAAATGTAAAAGGCCGGGCCAAGATTTGTGCAAGCCCCAAAATTCTAGGTAGGCAACAATAATATTAGGTACGGGTATGTGGCCGTTCATTCCGGGGCCGATTAGAGGAAAGAATCTGGGTAATTGGTAGGAAGAATAAGGCCATATTCGACAATGTGTAGGGCTGAGTTAGAACTGGTAATTTTCAAAGGCTTGTTGAAACCACTAAGTCTTCAAGCTCTTATGAAAGGAGAGGAGGGATGGGGCCTGTCTTATTTCCCTTGGAAGGGTGTTCCAGAGACGGAGGGGGGGGGGCACCACTGAGAAGGCCCTCTCTCCCATCCCCACCAACCGCGCTTGAGACGGTAATGGGACCGAGAGGAGGGCCTCCCCAGAAGATCTTAGAGCTTGTGCCAGTTCATAGAAGGAGATGCAATTGCGGATATAGGTGGGGCTCTAACCATTTAGGGCAGTGGTTCTCAACCTGGGGTCCCCAGATGTTTTTGGCCTACAACTCCCAGAAATCCCAGCCAGTTTACCAGCTGTTAGGATTTCTGGGAGTTGAAGGCCAAAAACATCTGGGGACCCCAGGCTGAGAACCAGATTTAGGGCTTTATAGGTCATGACCTGCACCTTGAATTTGGCTTGGCAACTTATCGACAGCCAATGAAGCTGTTTTAATAGGGGTGTTGTATGCTCCCTATAGTTTGCTCCAGTGCTGCCGCCCGTTGTACCAGTACAAAACTTCTGGGCTGTCTTCAAGGGCGGTCCCACGTAGAGCGCATTGCAATAGTCCAGTTTGGATGATATGAAGCTGGCCTTATGGTATTATGGAAGCAGCCTTCTTCAAAACAGGGAAAAATGAACGTTGCCTACCTCAGAATATGCCAGAGTAATATGCTCATATATCCCTTGGTGATGGTGGATGGCATCCTCCAAATCCTGTAGTTCCGAGGGAAGCTCGACCTCACCGCAGGCTTTACACCATGAATCCACATTACTCATGTACTACAAAGAAAGAAAGCTCCGATTATTCACCACCATGCACAGGTTAAGAGACAGCATACATTTCACTGGGCAAACAACAGTGTCTGAACTAGTCCTTTTGAAGGTGAACTTATTATCTTGATATACTGCCTTCAAAACCCTACTTTCTTCTCTCCGAAAAAGCGCGGCTTGCTTGGTTAAATTACCCAGAACCTTTTCAACTGGAGGCTAATAAGGATTCAAAAGTTATTTCTACCCTTTGCTTCATTTGGTCTGAAGAGCTGACATAATGAAAGAACCCTTACAAATCTATTTTGCTGTCCTCTGAAAAGGAGAGGCAGTGGTTAGCAAAAGAAAGGAACACTTTAGCAAAATGAGAACTCTTAGTTAACTGTAGAGGGGTTTGAGAGCGAGGAAACAAACACACATGGAAGCACTAAAACAACCCGCAGCCAAACCTCAATTCCACAGGCAGCCTAGGACAAGTCGAAATGCATCCAAAATCTTTTTGAAAATGTTCAGCTGCAATCTCTGGCAGCAGAAAATCCGATCAAATCATATTCTCCCCTATTGCGCTCCCCATTCACATACGTTCATAACAAATGGATACCTGATGTTAACAAGGGAGCTTAAAATTCACCACCAGTTTCCCTGTGGAGAAGGTACTACAATTAAGCATTCAACCATGCAGCGGAACAAACAGTAAGTTCAATTCAATCAAACCAAACACACTTCTCCGTGTTCTGTTTTTATTTCTCCTCAAGTTGCATTTACATAGAAAGTCATCTTTAAAAAACCCCGAAATATCTCATTTTCCTCATTTGGCCATCCATACCGCAATGGTCACACAGAGAAGTGAAAGTCAACCCAGCACTTCCTAGGTATGCATTTTTCTAATTAAAAACTAGTACGAGGATTGAATGAAAAGTAATGCCTCCACCTTCGTTACTTGGGTTTGGATGGGAATATTTTAATAAATCAAATGCAGAAATAATCCTTAGAATGTGCTCTTTAACTACCACTATTCATTTTTCCACATAATCACCAGACAATTGGATACATTTCTGAAGCCGTTACGGAAGAAGTCGACACTCTGTTTCCGCAACCAGCGCTCACAGTTCTCTCAACGTACCCATCGTGCACAGATCTTCCAATAGCCTAGCAAAGCAATAATGTGACCCACATGTTCTTGTGAAATGCCAATTATGCTTGAAATTTCTCTCTGAGTGATATGACAATCGTCCTGAAGCAATCTGTCAACCTTTTGCTTGTGAAACTCGGTGGTTGCTGTCACAGGACATACAACTCTTTGTTTGTCACACAAGTCAGATGTTCCCTCTCAACATCTTTAAACTTACTTGCCCAATGACACACAGAACTCACATCAACACAATCACCACAAACAGCTTGCATTCTCTGATTAATCTCCTTTGGGGTGACACCTTCTGCTGTTAAGAATTCAATGACTGCATGTTGCTTAAGTTACATTAACCGACCATCTGCGCAGGGTTCTATACTTCGCACTTTAACAACACAACCGTTCAATGCTAAGGCTTCCTGCCAAAATGGAACTGTAGAGGAGAGTTTACTGAACAAGCCAGTACCTGCTGCATACCAGTACTGCCATCTGTTGAGGAGTTACGAAGGTGGAGGCATTACTTTTCATTCAACCCTCGTATATATACTTTCCCAGGTGTCAGGGGGGCTCCTGCTCCTCTGATTACCACTTATTTCTCTCCCTTCATACCTTTTCTCCGTTCCTTTCTCTTCCTTCCTTCTCTCCTTTTTGTTTACTCTTCTCCCTCTCTCCTTTCTTTTCTCTCTCTGCTTTTTCCTCTTCCTTCCTCCCTCCCAATGTTTCTATGAAAATTTGGTTCTCTCTGTGACTCCTTCCTTTCTCCTTCCCTCTTTCTCATATGCATGTCACCTCTCTTTCCCAGTGACACCTAAGCTAGGGACATCACAAAGGGTCAACCCTTCAGGTAGCAACAGGATTTGTGGTACAGATAGACGAACCAGTCCTCTCTCTCTCTCTCTCTCTCTCTCTCTCTATATATATATATTATATATATATATATAGAGAGAGAGAGAGAGAGAGAGAGAGAGAGAGAGAGAGAGATCAGAGGTTCCCAACCTGTGGTCCGGAAGAATGAAAATATAGCCTGCAGCCTCACTGTTACTACATCGTTGCAACAACCCTCTTATAGTGCCAAGGAATATTAAATATGGTTTTCTGTGGGTGAGCAGATGGCAACTATTGGATGAAATATGTTCTGTACCAGAAACTAGAGCTGGTGTGGTCTATCAATGCAATTTTCTGAATCAGCACCCCAAATAACCAAACCAAATGTAAAGTTGATCAAAAACTGATTATGCTTTTCAACACATCCACAATTCCATTCTGAGACTATGCACAGGTTGAGCATCCCCTATCTGAAATACAGAAACTTTTGTTTCATGAACAAAATTATTTAAAAAATAATGTGTATATAGTATATATGAAACATAAATGAATTTAGTGTTTAGCTGGGATCCCAACTCCAACATCTGTGTATGTATGAAAATACAGGCATATCAAAATTAATAAAAATGAAATCCAAAACACTTCTGGTCACCAGCATTTTGGGTATGGGATACTCAACCTGCACCGAGTTTATCTCTTAACAAGGAATCATAGCAGGAAGAGCCTATTGACTGTTTTCAGTGACTACCACTCCTAGAGGAGCAAGGCGCTTTTGCATTGAGACTCCCTTTCAAGCCTTCTCTTTCACTTTGAATGAGTAAAACTTGGAGCCACTGGTGGCACAATGGGTTAAACCCTTATGTCAACAGAACCACTGACCAAAAGCTCAGCGGTTCAAATCCAGGGAATGGAATTAGCTTCTGTCGGTCAGCTCCATCTTCTCGTGAGGGGACATGAGAGAAGCCTCCCAAAGGATGGTAAAACATCTGGACGTCCCCTGGGCAACGTCTTTGTAGATGGCTAATTCTCTCACACCAGAAGCGACTTGCAATTTCTCAAGTCACTCCTGACACAAAAAAAGTAGAAACTGAATATCGTTGTCTATTCAGCCTTACAGGAGGACAAAACACTAAAAATGAGCTGAACAATGCTGGCTCGCTTTCTCCTCACCCAACAGGAGTATGACAGAAGATATCCAACATCAGAGTTTCCTATAAGCATCTTGAAGGACTGGCAACTGCTTTAGTCATTCGGAGGCTTGTTTATTTATTATTTTATTAAAAAACCTACATTTATTTCCTTTGATCACCTCAACCTGGCAAACATGATTCTCACAAAAACACACCAAGGTAGGTAAGTCTCAGAAAAATGGCTAGCCTAAGCTACCTATCTGATACAATAGCCTAAGTCTAGGAACGGTATGCCATAAATAGCTTTCTCTCAGTTACTCTCAAAGTTGATACAGACTAAGGTGGATTGAATACCAAGATCACCCTGTGAGTTTAATGACTCAATGGAGAAATAAGCTTGCCAATCCAATGTTTTATCTACATCACATTGGTTATCTTCTTCTACATGTAAGAGACTAACCTTAGATAACAAATCTATTGCATGTGAAACCAAGAAAAGTCAGCTGTTTTTTGTTTTTGTTGGAATTACTAACCTGCTCAGCCTTCTGGTGGAAAACACCTGACATTTCCAACAAGGTACTACGCTCATCCAGGGCTGCGGCAAACGCTTTCCATTCTTGCTCCAACTGGCTGGCGATTTGTTTGATTTGCTGTGAGGCATAGTGACCAGACTCCACCAAACGGTTGGCTACAGACATGATGCGGTTTATGTTTACATACACATTCTGCAAGAAAAAAGGAAACAAAGACAAAAATGCTCAGCATGTTAAACTCAAAAGAAAAATAAAGAAACTCATCCTGATCTGGCTCATTTCAGTTCTGTACAATAATTGTAGATGTGGGCTATCTTGGGCCATGCAAATCAAAAGAGGTTGGCATTCTTGCAAACTACATACTTCCACTAAAATAAATATTGTTGGAGACTTCTAGGATGGGTTCCAAGCATAGGACAATACTCTAAAGCACAGGAAGGCACAGAGTGACCTATTTGTGATATTTAATCCCCTATAATATTCCAAATGGGAAAAAAGTTATGGGCACCCTGATTTACCAGAAGTGGTGGTTTGGCTGGAAACAAAGTACCCATTTCCCCCTCCAAAATGCCTCTCCATCAAAATGGGAAGTAAACGTCCAGTGGCCTGATTTTCTAACCTAGTAGAGCAGAGATGGGCAAACTATCTAACTTAGGGGCGCATGGTGGGCCAGAGCACGGTGGATGGGCCTGGAGGGAATTGCTTCTCATTGCCCTTTCTTCCCCTTCCTTTTCTCTTTCCGAGACAGAAAGTGAAGAAAAGACAGGAAACCTTTGGATCCCAAAAAGGTTGGTCTTGGCCAGGATTAGATGGTGGATGGGATAGAAAAAACGTATTCATTAGACCTGGTATTGCCTCCTCCTGATATATAATCCTAGAATCCTAGAGTTGAAAGAGACCCCCAAGGGTCATCCAGTCCAACCCCCAGCCATGCAAGAAGGCACAATTAAAGCACTCCCAATAGACAGCCTCTGTGGAAAAGCATCATGAGAAGAAGACTCCACCACACTTTGAGGAAGCCCATGCTGCTCTCCAACAGCTCTTACTTTCAGAAGGTTCTTTGTAATCTTTTCAGTCAAATCTCTTTCCCTGCCATTTGAAATCATGGCTCCTTTGTGCCCTGGTCTCCAGAGCAGTAGACAATCAGATTCCTCCCATCCTCCTCAATGGGACACCCTTTTAAATCTTGAAACATGTTTCTCATGTTCCCTCTCTACCTTCTCTTCTCCCAGATAAACATAATAATCATAATCATAATAATCTTTATTTATACCTCGCCACCATCTCCCCAAGGAGACTCGGGCAGTTTACATGATGCCAAGCCCAACAATTACAACAAAGCAAATATACAAAATAAAATTATACATCAATAAAATATAATGAAAATAATTAAAAAGTACAAAATAGGCACACAATACAATATAAAATCACAATAATCGATCAAGATGGGCAAGACTGGTCACAAGGATTTAAATGTTTGAAAGCTCTAGGTGAGATAAGTAATGTAGTGTATCAAGAAGGAGGTTCAAGTGGGACGAAACAATGGGGCTTAATTGAACTAGAGGGTGAAATAAAGTGCGTCCAAGGCATTTTATGCTGGGTTTGGTCAAAGTCAAAGAATATTGTTCATTCATTGAAGGCACACTGGAATAGCCAAGTTTTTAGGCTCTTCTTGAAGACTTCCAGGGTGGGCGCTTGTGTAATTTCTTCGGGGAGCGAATTCCAGAGGAGAGGTGCCACCACAGAGGAGGCCCTCTCCCTCGTCCCCACAAGTTGTGCTTGCAATGGGGGCAGGAGTGAGATAAGGGCCTCTCCAGAAGAACGAAGGGATCATGTTAAGTTCATAGAAGAAAATGTAGTCACGAAGGTAGGCAGGTCCCAAACCATTCAGGGCGTTGTAGGTAAGAATCTGCACCTTGAATTGGGACCGGAAAATAAATGGCAGCTAATGGAGCTCCTTAAACAGGGGGTAGACCACTCCCTGTAATTCACTCCAGTTAGTAGCCTGGCTGCCGATCGTTGGACCAATTGAAGTTTTCGGGCCGTCTTCAAGGACAGCACCATGTAGAGTGCATTGCAATAGTCCAATCTAAGGCAATAAGGGTGGAAGGAGAAAGAGAAAGGGAAGGAAGAAGGAAGGAAAGAAAGAAAGAAAGAAAGAAAGAAAGAAAGAAAGAAAGGAAAGAAGGAAGGAAGGAAGGAAGGAAGGAAGGAAGGAAGGAAGGAAGGAAGGAAGGAGAGGAAAAAGGAAAACACAAAAAGGAGAGAGAGAGAGAGAGAAAGGTCCTCCCTCACCTGGGAAAAATGCAGGAACTGGGCACCTAGGTGCGCCCGCTGCTGCCCATGCCAAGGGGAACGCCAAGGTGGGGGGAAGGAGGAAGGAAAGAGAAAAAGAGGGAAGAAGGAAGGACAAAAGGGTAGAAGGAAAGGAAGGAGAGAAGAGAGAAAGAGGGAAGGAGGGGAGGGAGGGGAGAGAAGGAAGGAAAAGGACAAAAGGAAGGAAGAAGGCAAAAAGGTGGAAGTGAAGGAAAGAAGGAGGAAGAAAGAGTGAGGAAAGAAAGGGAGGACGGGAAGGAGGAAGGCAAGAGAGAAGGAAAGATAGGATGGTGAGAGAGAGAAGGGCCTGAGAAAAGAACCCAAGGGGCCACATCTGGCCCCCGGGCCTGGGTTTGCCCATATCTACAGTAGACCTTGCAGCACATTCAATAGGCTAAAAACTGCACAGCAACACAGCACATGTCTGCTCTCAAGCTAAGCTTTCATTAATTCCAGGTAATCAGCAAACACATCAGCTATGACAACTCCATTTCATGTGAACTGTGAAACCTTATAACTGACGCCCTGCTCACTTCCATTTTTCCATTCTGGCACTGGCAGTATGCAAGATCGGAAAACAATACATCGGAGAAGACTATTTTTAAACATGCCATGTCAGAATAATTCAGTGAGTTGAAGTCAAAACAAGCAGCATGAACTTCACCCTGGGTGCCCTAAACTTCACCTTCGGAATTCAACAACAGGGTTGAACCTAACAAGAAGGGGCAGCCTGTTCCCTGGGTGGCTGGCATCGTTCTCAGCAACTGCGCAAGCTGAACAGGACTACCTTTTCTGACAGCAACTCTCCAGAGAGCTCTGCAGGAAAGGATTCTAGCCGTTATTGTATATCAGGGTGTGTCACAATGCCCTTTCCTGATTCCATCGGGGGTCACACCCTGTGGCAGGGGAAAACAAAGACATTCGTTCAAAATCAAGACGCACGCAAATACATAAGAAAAGCTACAGTGTGCGTCTGCATGTCTTGCTTCCGAACAAACCTCTTGGATGAGTGTGGTTGCCACCAGAATTGGTTATCAGTGGCTGGAGATCACAAAAACAGGTGGGCAAGTAACATAATGCACACATCGCCAAACCGTGAAATAAGTTCAACATCTCTTTAATTTCAAGACATTGGGTAGAAATCTTATCCTACAGGGAAAAAGATAAAGATAGCAGTTCTGGGAAAAATATGAAAATCACTTATGATCCAAATAGTGGACAGTGATGTTCAAGAAATGAATTTCTGGTTTCTATTGTAAGATTGTGTTTGGACCATCTCATTCAGAATGCAGACAAGCACTCATGAGGACACAATATTCACCTATCCAATTTGAAGCCCTGGGCTACAATGCCTCCCCTCAATATGTTATTTTCCTTTGGGGTTGCTTGCTTAGATATAGAAACATAGAGTTGGAAGAGACCTTGTGGGCCATCCAGTCCAACCCCCCAAGAAGCAGGAATATTGCATTCAAAGCACCCCCACAGATGGCCATCCAGCCTCTGTTTAAAAGCCCAAAGAAGGAGCCTCCACCACACTCCGGGGCAGAGAGTTCCACTGCTGAACAGCTCTCACAGTCAGGAAGTTCTTCCCAATATTCAGATGGAATCTCCTTTCTTGTAGTTTGAAGCCATTGTTCCGCGTCCTAGTCTCCAGGGCAGCAGAAAACAAGCTTCCTCCCTCCTCCCTATGACTTTCTCTCACATATTTATACATGGCTATTATGTCTCCTCTCAGCCTTCTCTTCTTCAGGCTAAACATGCCCAGCTCTTAAAGCCGCTCCTCATAGGGCTTGTTCTCCAGACCCTTGATCATTTTAGTTCCCTCCTCTGGACACATTCCAGCTTGTCAATATCTCTCATCAATTGTGGTGCCCAGAATTGGACACAAGATTCAAGCTGGGTTGCAGTTAAACATAAAAAAAACAAAATTATGGAAACAAGAATGATTGACAACTGGGAAATAGAGGGAGAAAATGTGGAGGCAGTGACAGACTTTGTATTTCTAGATGCAATGATTACTGCAGACGCAGACTGCAGCCAGGAAATCAGGACACTTACTTCTTGGGAGGAGAGCAATGTCCAATCTCGATAAAATAGTAAAGAGTAGAGACATCACACTGACAACAAAGATCCGCCTAGTCAAAGCCATGGTATTCTCTGTAGTAACCTACAGATGTGAGAGCTGGACCTTAGGGAAGGCTGAGCGAAGGAAGATAGATGCTTTTGAACTGTGGTGCTGGAGGAAAGTTCTGAGAGTGCCTGGACCGCAAGAAGATCCATACCAGAATAAAGCCTGACTACTCATTGGAGGGAAGAATAGTAGAGGCCAAGATAAAGTACTTTGGCCACATCATGAGAAGAAAGGAAAGCTTAGAGAAGACAATGATGCTGGGGAAAAAGGAAGAGGGGCCGACCAAGGGCAAGATGGATGGTATCCTTGAAGTGACTGGATTGACCTTGAAGGAGCTGGGGGTGGTGACGGCCGACAGGGAGCTCTAGCGTGGACTGGTCCATGAAGTCACGAAGAGTTGGAAACGACTGAACGAATGAACAACAAAATCCACACCTGTAGACTTCTGTTTTCCATTCTGGCCTACAAAAGATTTCCAAGAAAGCAGCACTGGATGTGTAAAGCTTTACAAACCAGTGGTCTGAAAAAAAGGAAATTCTAGGCATTGCCAACATCACTAGGTGGCACTGTATCTACCTCCCACACAGACGGACTTAGCTAGTAGAGGAGATAGAGGAGTGTGACCACCCAAAGATCTTGAAAATGTGATGTCTTTACAGCCTACAGGTATATGTTAGACACCCGAGAGTAAAAATGCTATGTCTTAAGGTTCAGGGGAAAATGTGTTCATAAAAAAAATCCCTAG